CTTTATAACGAACAGTATTACTTAAAACAGACTATAAGGACTGGGAAATAGGAAGTTATATATAAATAAACTAACACATAGAACGTCAATTAATAACTTCGTTAATGTAGAAATAGGGGCTAAATTTGTGCTTAGCACTGGATGTACTTCCTCAGGGACCTCGAAAGTGTTCTGTGTTAAGAGTAAATAAAATCAAAATTATGAGTAACAAACATTTTTATATCTTGCTTTAGAAGTTCATATGTCACACTGTGTTGTAGCATACAGAGTGCATAATTCTTCCCGTGATTCATGACATGCACACGTTTCACTGACGTCACACGGCAGTACAAATTGCTACGTGAAGCTTCCTTCATGTGAGTCATTTCAGTGTCGACTGACTGACAGACAATACACTACTGTATAGTGGTGGTAGTTGTTAAAACTTCGGCTCCTTTTGGGGAAATTATTTGACTGCTGAAACATTGTTTAGCAAAAACCAAAAAATGGATATAGACGGGATTGAATCCTTGACTTCCCCCACACGTGCGTGTGATGGGCATATGAGCCAAAGCCTAAAGTTTTTTTTTTCACATAATACAGCATTATTAAGTTAAGTATTAATATGTAGATATGAGAACGGCATACAGTGGTGTAGGAAGAGGTTTCAAAGTGTGGGTGCTTGGCTAGATATGCAGATTTTACAATGAGAGATTGAAAGTATAAGGAGCTGCTAAAAGCGGCTCTCATATTGTCAAAGGCAGCTCATTCTAGGGGGTCTGGTGGAATGTCCCCCAGAAAATCTATATAATAATGTAATCAATTTAGCAATCTACTCGCTTTATTGAAAATAACACCCTTTTTTATTTTTTATCCTTTTTTGTGTACGTGGATATTTTATTGAAAAATTGGGAACAAAATATTTTCTGAAGGGAGTATATTATTGCACATACCTTTGTGATAACTACCATTTTTTTAGATAAAATTTGACCATATGTATGAATGTGTGTGGGAAATATAACCAGCGTTGAACGTTTTGGAAAAGGTGATTGGCTGCGGTAATAGGTGAGTTCTAGCCATCTGTTAAAGTTTGCTAGCACGAGTACATTTATCAGTTTCTACTTTAGGTCGTAGGAGTTCTTGTTCCCATTCACTGACAATTTATGGCTGAAATAACTTCCACGTTGCAGTGGAGGGATGTAAAAATGCAGATGTTTTGTAGGGAACAGTGATATATAATGGCTGGAGACGGCTTGAATGGGTAATGAAGATAACTTTAATATAAGTTTAACATAACAGCAAATATATAACGTTTAGACAAAGTTTTGTCATCATCCTTGGTGAGCAGAAACCCGCTTCTCCAAGATCCGAATATAAATATTCTGCAAGTTTCCCGCCGTTTCTTATACAAATTTTACTCTGTTTAAAGTTGTTTGTTACCTGATGATGATAAAACCTTGTCGAAACGTTGTACATTTGCTGTTATGTTAAACTTGTATTAAAGTTTTTCTTCATCACCCATTCAAGCTGTCTCCAAGCATTATTAGTCTCAAAGTGAGTTCCTCGTCATCGAATAGTGATATATGTTGTACCAACTGAATGAAAACATTTTTGTTATTATTATTATTATTGTTTTTGTTGTATGTGCTTTTTTCTGATGCTCAAGCTA